TTCTCTTCAGTAGCCATAAATCACGGTCGAAATTAAGAATTTCAGCGACTAGACGGGAAGACGGGCTTGTTCGCCGAGCAAACGCTAAGGGCATTCAACAAATTTCACGGTGTCTGTCGATAAATCAGTTTAAGCATTCAGTCGATGAGAAAGGGGTGGTTTTGCGGTGTAACAGGTGGTTGAAATTCTCATTCGCCGCGCCTTTTTACTCCTTTATCGGCAAAAAAGGAAAGAATAAGTTCCAGTTTATGAATCGGAGCGCGTTTAACGCTTCTTAAAAGGATAAAGCAGCCCCGACGGCTTTTTCAACAAGGGAAATTGCTCAGCCTTTTACCGAGAACTGCGGGACATATCGATGGAAAGACCAGCTCAGACGTTTTTTCTTTCCCTTTCTTTCTGTTTCTCTCGTTTCCCCTTCTTTTTGTCTATCCTTCTACACCTAATGAAATTTATACATCGCGCGGGGATTCGTTTCCTTGCGGCGATTTTTATTCGATATCACTCTGTTCACGGGATGGCAGAGGAACGAGGGGAAGAAACGTGAGAATGTAATTCGTCTCGTCATCATTATTATTATACATGAACGTTATCACAAAGCAAAGAAAAAAAAAAATAAAACAGAAAATTGTCAATGATTAACTTGATTAACTTGTTACATCATCCGGGGAAAATTTCACTCCTACGGAAATCCTTAGATTACGGTACAAATTAAATAAGACCGACGATTATTTATTTACACGATTATTCACAGTGAGGAGAAACTTATTGTACAATATATGGTGCGTTAAAGCTTGAAGATTTCCATATGCGAGGATACAGAGTTGCGTGTTCCTATTCTCTCGTCGCGCTCCTTCTTAAATACTATTTCTTTAAGTTACTCTAACTACTCACGAAAGACCTACATATACAAACGGGCACAACAGTCGCTATTCCCCTTATCGTAATGCATGCATCGTAATCGTACTAAAACTAGTTTCAGTCGTATCGTTGAAAGATGAAAAAGGAACGATTATGTCTCTGCTAAGGCACTATTTCCAATTGAACTTATCATGATACATCGTCGAAGATCATTTCGAAGCGTGATCTAAAACTACATCTTAAATTTATAATTAGTTTATTATTCGTACCGATCGATTCATCATACAGATCGGTACTATTCGATTCAAAAAGAGACTTAAAAAAAAAAAGAGGAAGGAAAGTAAAAAGCAATTTGGGAAAAAAACTCAGATATCTCGAATCACCAAGGTCTCCACATATCGCCATTGGCGCCAGAAGTACCAGCCACCGCTGCAGCAATTTTGATAGGATTAGGATTGGTATTATTTTTATTAGCGGAGCTGGCCGCTCTGCCAGGCAGATCCTCCATGGAAACCGGCTGATCTTCTTTCGACTTTAAGGGGTCGTTGGGAGAATTCATGGTGGTGGAGCTAATAGGTTCTTGATACCTGGCTTTCTTATCAGAGATCACTAGAAGATCGTCGGAATTGTGCCTCTTGATAGCTGCTCTCCTTGTCGCGCGATTGTACGTTTTCTCCGTGATCACCGAAAGTGGCTGTCGTAAATTCTGCGTGGCCATTTCGTTGCTGTTCGACGATTCGGAAGAATCCGCGGATTCGTTTTTGCTCGCGTGATTCGTGTCCGATTTGGTACAATCGACGAAAATCGGTACCGGCGACTTGCTGTTGCTGGTCGAGCTGATCTGCGGCTTCTGAGTCTCTGGCGACGAAGAGAAACTGTTTGAAGCTGCACTCTGACCAGGTACCTTGAACCGACGTTCTTGACGATTAGGCGAGTGTGCCTGAAGACAATGTGCCTCGGACTGATGATTCTCCTCGCCGCAGCTCGAAGTGGATGTCGACGGACTCAACAGGGGACTCTGCGGCCTATGAACAGCGGAGAACGCGGAAGACTGCCCGATTTTCGAGACTGGAGGATTTTCAGCAGCGGCTGGAGGAAAGAATGGAAAATTTGCGGAAATGGCCGCCGACTGTGGTACCAAAAAGGCTAGCTCCCCGGTCGGCAGTCTGCTAGGTATCAACTGAACACCGTTTGGTATCTGTATCCTGGCACTTCCATTATTATTCTCATCGCCATTCTGGAAATCGCTTTGGAAACCGACCTTCACCTCCGGATAGAGCCGTTCCGGCATGTAGGGCACGTAGTGGCTGTAGAACGGCGCCATTTGCTGGAGATTGCTAACGCAATTGTTTAGATGTGATACCAGTCGTTGCTTCACAACAGGGTCCACGTTCTCGAGGTGGCTGACGTACCGCGATACTTCGGTAGCACATTCAGAAAATCCGGAACGGAATTTCGTTAGCACCGCCGGATCGGTAGCGACCGCCGTGCTCAATTGCTGACGCTGTACCGCCTGTAAATGCTTCACCGTCATCTCGAGGATATCGGCCTTCTCGAGTTTCGAATGCCTCGTCGGCTGTAAGAAGAAAGAAAAACACACGGTAATAATTAACAGTCATCGAGTCACGGACACATTTTCGTCGATCGATTTCATCAATCTCGTGACCGCGCAACGACTTTCTAGTTAAATTTTTTCCCCTGCAATACGAGAGGCGACGCACGGGGTGAAAAACGAACGTAGAACTCGATCGGTAACGCAGGAAGTCCGCGAGACTCGGTCGAGAGAGAGGGAGATCTGTAATATCGACAGATAGCAACGACGAGGAACGAACCGTTACCGATGAAAAGGTGGTTCCCAACATGTTCGGAGCATAGCAATCACAGTAGCGCCCGAGGGTGCTTTTCACCAGCCAGCATTATTACCGATCGCTCATCCAAGAAATCTGTGACGCCTCGGTAACGCCCACGTAATTGACTTGATTCGACCTGCTGCCTTAATAACAGACTACCAACTACTTCGGTAGCTAGAGCAGGGCAATTTCGTAGTTAGCCTACGGCCACGCCGTGTTACATTCCACGGGAGACATTCCACGTTACATTCCCTATCGCGTAACGTTTACGTCGCTCTTATCGTCGGCTGCAGAAAAATCGGCTTTTAAATGTCCAAATACACCTACAATTACGGCACACGATATTCATATAGATCGGAGGAAACGAGTTCGAGGAAACGTGTCCGCGAGACACACGTTCCCTCTCGAAAGGAAACTGTCGCAAATAGAAAAGGGGGAGAAAAAGTGTATCTCTCGTCGTGGGAACCCGTTAGAAGTTCGAAAGCGTTCCGAAAGCTTTTTTTTCTCCACGGAGCAACAACACCAGCCCTTTCAATATTCCTCGGATTGCCAGCAACCTTTTAGGGGATCGATCGTTCAATACCGATGCAGTTCTACAACTCCGAAATCCTATTGTGCCTCTTTCTGCATCACGATCCTCGTCCCAGGATCAGCCGAGTGCTCGCATTTTTATGGTAAACTAGCGGTCACCTTTAAAATAGGCGTGGGAGTCGAAGAAGAGATCGCTTACACAGCCCATTGAGGGCTCTTCTCTCCCCCTCCCTCCTTCTCATTCTCCCTTGAACGAGCATCCATTCGAATGAGAACAAGTTCACAAACAAGAACTAGTCTTGAAAATGTATATTTGAAACGACAAATTTATCGGCACCTTGTTACCTCTCTTTAATTTCTTTTTTTTTTTTTTCTAGAGTATCGAAAATTGTTAATCGACTCTTTTTTACATTTCTCCCGTTTCCCGTCGAGCGTAGAAAAACGACGAAGCATGTTCGACGTCTTCACAAAGCAGAGTTTATCAATGAAGTTTATCCTGCGAGCAAATCTCACGAGGTCGAGGAAATCGATTTTCCCAAAGACAAATTCGACACCGAGAGAGATCCGAGGAACGAGACACCTGCTAAAAGAACGACTAAAAGACGAAGGCGTCGAGCATCCACCCTCTTTTTTTTTTCTTTCGTTTTCCTTCTTTTTTTTTTTTTTTTTACGGGGATCGGCGCCGTCCTCGCGAAGCTGGATCCTTAAAGATGATACGGTCAACAAAGGAAGGCTGCAACCCGAGATGAGATTCTTTTTTCTTCGTAATAATTATTTCGTGGTTCCCACGAACGCGGGGGGCGTTTCGTACGGGGCGAACAGGACGGACACTGGAGCGAGCAGGTAGCGGAAGTCATCTGGACGTGGAGAGGAGAACGGTGAGAGTGCCTCGCTCTCTCGTTATGGTCCTGTCTGAGAAATCAATCTCGCTGGATCGAGTTACGTGGCGAGGAGGACGGATAACTCTTGTCCTTGAATGACTGGGGGAGGGAGGGGAAACTCTCGCGGCACCGATCGAATTTTTCATCGAAAATTCACAAATTTCCAACGCACGCGATTTCAAAATTAAAAGCTGGTTCAGCTGCTAAACGTTGAAACTTTGAAAATGACATTATCGCGTTTTTCGTTTAGAGTCCACCGATCGGTAACTTTTCGAAAGATTCGAAACTAAGGTAATTGAAATCTCTGTTTAAGACGGGTAGATCAAGTGGAATGTGGTGAACATCGCTTAGACATATCGTCGGATGGACCCGTGGAGTACCATTGTGGAGTCCCCGGTGGAGATTACGTACTGGTAGAGAGGACTTCTACCATCCGTTCCCACGGCGAGGCATCTAAAACACTAAAACAAAACCCATCCGAGATCCTGCTACCGCTAGTTCCGATTCTATGGTCGAAAAACAAATCGTGTGGCGCGAAGAGGAAGGCGGCGAGGGAAAAAGGAGACGGCCTGATCAAACACTTCTAGCCAACATCCGCTGCACGACCTCTTCCTATCAGTTTAATTAAAAGATCGACTCTTGACCTTTATGCTAACAGTACCGAAACAATCTCGACCGACTGACGCTCCATATAGAGCTCATCTAACGATTATAATTTCGACCAATTTCAATTGTCGCTCGACGATACGTGTGAATTGAAATAAGAAAAAAAAAAAAAGGAAACGAAAAGAAAAGAAAAAAAAAACGAAAAATGGAGGAGGAAAAAATTGTGCGAATAGATTTTCCTGTCAATTTGAACCCTAGTCAGCACCCTATTCCGATATTCTTCTCTGTCTCTCGTGTCTTATTTTTCCGACGAAGATAATTTAAAGAGAAATAAAAGGTAATAAAACACTGCAAAGAGGGAAGAGATCGATGAAATATCACGAGCAACAACGAATTCTACAAACAGATGTAACATGTCGATCGATCGATCCTACGAATATCAACGACTGAAATCCTTCTGAAATCAAATATCGCTGACTGTGTCCGCCATCAGGATCCATCAACCGGCAAAAAATCCCATCAGTCTAAGTGGCAACGAGAAAAAAAAAAAAAAAAATCTGTGCACGCCGCTGGCGGACGAGAGAGGCTGCGCATATTTTCGCGTTATCTCCCGCAAACTCGTATCACGTCGCTAGATAAGTCGTGCACCGGTCACGTTTTCCACGGTACGTTTCGGGCGCCAGCGACAACGTGGATTCCACGAGCATCGCCGCGCTAGCCTGAAATTGCACGCATAGGCGCACCATCTCCTACCGTTTCGCGTGACTATTGTTCTCACGTCTGTTGTCCCTTGCTCGTCAAGAAATTCCTTCGATATTAAGCGATTCAAACCGATTATGCCTGACCCGACGTGACGTGCAATTGCTACGACGACTTGCCGATCGATCGCGCGGAAATCACTGTTATCGAACAGATTGATAAACGGTGCTCGACAACAGATGGACAACCGTCCTACTCACGTCTTTTTTCATCGCCTCGAGTATCAGGCTCTTCAGCTCGTCCAGACACTGATTTATTCGAGCACGCCTCCGCTTCTCCATGATTGGCTTGTTGCTCTGCAATTTGAAAATCATTTCAGTTGCCAGTTGCCTTCTCCGAAAAATCTTTTGTCATTTCGGTAGTTTCGTCCTTGGGCGAAATTGCGGGAGAATGTCACTAGAATTGATCTTTCGGTTCAAGCGGAACACCTGAAGGTGTTTAACTCGGATTTGAATGAAGAGAGATTGAAAATTTACAGTATAGTATAGTATAGATACGACTGCAATGTGATTATAGAGGATTTTACGTTTCTTAAGTCTTCCCTCAAATCTCCATTTTCATTAAATATATATAGAGCGTCTGAACAAAACGTATTACGTTGTATCGTTTTAGAAAAATGACCAAAGAGATATCTACGTTCGAAGTAAATAAATTTATAAAACTAAATCATTCCCCACTGTTCCCTTGTGAGGGGGGAAAAAGAAAACATGAGAGAGAGGAGGATCAGAATGAAATATTCTCAATGACACTTTCCCCACTTTGCGTACAATTTCACGAAAACGAGGTTCCAATTAATGTTTACCCTACGCAACTCCGCCTTGGTCATCCCCGGGTGGGCGTGCGATTCGGGTTCATCCTCGCTGCCTGACATTTTATAATTATGATAATCCACCATTTATACACGATAAAGAAAAAAAACAGAAGAAGGAAAAAAACACCACTGTAACAAATATTCCAACCACACACGATATATTTCACTTATTAAAAAGATCTGTCCTTCTAACAATCCAGCATGATATCCACGTGAACGTAGGCAAACAAAGTTCCAGGAACAACTGGTCGTAGTTCAGTAAAGTGTTTGTTCGTAATTTTTTACGTGCACATCCTGACAACGGTGAACTGCGAGTGAAACCCCCCCCAGACGAAGAACTTTCCTGGAGAAGAGGGATGGTCGCCAGTACTGGCGACGTCCCTCATGGGGTGTAGAGGGTAACTGTTTGACGTTTTCGATTTCGAAGACCGCATGCCGATACACTCACCGTGTCCAGAGTGGGGTGAAGTGCGTTCTGGAGTGGGGTTCCGGAATAGCATCGGAGAGGGGAAGTCCTCCTGTTGAGACCTGTTGATGTGTGGGAATTCACGCCGTCCCCTGGGACATAACGATATAGTCTCCTTCGAAATTCGAGTCTCTCTCTTTCTTTCGGTGTTCCTTTCGTCCTCTCGCCACGTCCACCCTTTTCTCTTCTCTGACATTCACGAAAAAAGTTGCGACAGAGAGATTACATCGTGCAAAGCTCGTATTCTTAATACAACTGCTCGACGAGCTTTTACGCTTGTAAAAAGTTGACGAGAAATGAAATGTTTGCCCCCGTTCCTCTTCAAATATTTCAATAGACCAAGAGACCAGAATGGCGAGAGTTCGTTTCTAAATTTTAATTTTATCGTTTCCCTTCTCGACCGAGTTGAAATGCACGGCTCTCTCTCTCTCTCTCTCTCTCTCTCT